TTCTGGTTACGGGCCTGTAATACATCAACTTTCCAAGTGTGATCACAAAGGTAGAGTCTCTTGATAAGTGTAAACACTGTCGTCACGTCAAATATGCCACTATTCGACTAAGTGGAAAAGTGGTACTTTTTAAATTGCGATTTCTCCGTACTGGGACGAAACTAGCCATCAGGAGTTGCACACACTCAACAACCGTGCATGAGAGCACCATATTCCGTAAGAATATCCAAAGCGATTATCGCAGGAAAAAAACTAAAGCGAAGTGGAAATGTGAGATTTTCACATACCTGTACGGCGCTGCTTTCGGTAATTTGCATTCGTAATTGTCCACAATGAATAAAACAATAATCGCAAATGATCACCTCAGTGCACTTACTAACACGGTAGAATGTCTGTAAGTCAGGTTCTATTGTCCGAGGGTCCAAGGATTTCTTTCCGGGTGCAAGTCTATGGGAATTTAGGTCATTCATTCTGAGTGATGATTCAGCGGAACCGGGTATTTGTATTTTAGCACTGTAATCCTGGCCATCTTCCAACTTTAAAAGCCATGCTGAGAAGACTATGCCCTAAAATACCTAACCCTAACCCGAATTCAAGTTGTAAACTGTTCAAAATTGGTCGGTAATTTGTAAGAAATCGAGTGACGTTCATTGTGACATTCTTCTCTTTGATAAAAAACCCTGTGGCCTCGATTGCCTGAGAATCTGGACAGTCGGGGACGGGGAGCGGGGTGGGGCAGACACTCCCTCGCTTATACCCTTTCTTTATTCAGCATGGATACTTCTCTTGATTATCTGTCCAATGAAGTATTAAAACTTACTGCAATGAAGGACACGACATCCTCTCTGCTCTTGACATGCACTCTGCATTAAAAGAACGACTAGTAACTGCTAGTGTCGGTGTGATCGACGAAACGAAAAGTACTTTGGACAACGATAAAGTACAAGGGCTCAGCAAATATCACAACTTTCGATTCGAAAAGAATAAGATCAGAATCTGGAGGGCTTACAGTATCGGCAAGGGTAAAACGTTTGCAACTAAATTCATGAAACAAGAAACATCTAGTCCATCCTTCCTTAATAAAAGTTTCAGATATACCTGGATTCTTTCCTTCCAAAAGTAGAACAATGGACAAAAGGAAAGAAACAGAGGAAAAAGGCGTTGAAGAGATTGGCGTATTTGATTGTCAAGAGCCAGGGTGTGACAAATCCTTCGACGCATTGTCTGATTTGGAACTCCATCTAGATGTTGGAGACCACCAATCCTCCACAATCCTGCCTAAGGAAAATTTGTATGATTCCCTAAGAAGAGACTGGGCTAAGCAATTTCTACCATCACCAATTTGGAGACAAAAAAAAAAAAAAGAAGAAAAAAAAAAAAAAAAAA